GTTTCTATGGACGGAAAAGAGCAGATACGGATTAAATGGTTTTCAATGCATTCCTATGGGAAATGCAGATTCAACATAAGAACTTTTCAACTTGAGAACCACCTTCCAATACGGATTAAGTTCTTAAGTAGAGACCCCACTGTAAAAGCTTCCACTGTGCACTGTGGAAAGTGCTATTCCATTAAATACACACACACACATTGTTGCTGTTCATAACAGCATAAAGCCAGTTACAAGTACAGTGGTGCCTCGCTTAACGGGCACCCCGTTTAACGATGAAATCGCATACCGACGAACTTTTTGCAATCGCTTTTGCAATCGCATTGCGATGTTTTAAATGGGGGAAAATTGCTTTGTGATGATTGGTACCCTGTTTCGCTTACCGATCATTGCAAAACGATGATTTTTTAACAGCTGATTGGCGGTTCCAAAATGGCCGCTGGGTAAAAAAAATGGCCGCCCGCTGTTTTCTGGGACGGATTCCTCGCTTACCGGGCAGCGAAAATGGCCGCCGTATGGAGGATTTTCACTTAAAGGTGAGTCTGAAGCCCATAGGAACGCATTGAAGGGGTTTCAATGCATTCCTATGGGCTTTTTAATATCGCATAGCGACGAAATCACTTTGCGATTTTTGCTGCGCCAATTATCGTCGCTATGCGAGGCACCACTGTACGTTAACAACTGAGGCTTTACATGCTTCCTACAGAAATCCCCTTATGTTTTTGTCAGTAGAATCTGATTCCCAAATACTTCTATGTTTCTCATCCTCAGAATTTAACATGACTACCGGCTTTATTGTATATCTTCAAGAACTGTTGAAGATGTGCAGAAAAAAAAGTCTGTGGGTAAATCACAAGACCAAGAAGTCTCCACTGACATACAGTACTTTGTTGCAGGAATGTTGGTGTGAATAATCAGATAAAGAAATGCAATGATTATAGTCCCTCAGGACATAATTATGTCTCCTAGAGCTGTAAACTGATTAAAGCACTTGTGGTTAAATAACCATTTTGTTTCTAGCTGATTAAAATCAATTAGCGGAATCTGCATTATCATAACACCAACTGTTGACACTTTCATCAAGCAGGATTTTCCTAAATGTGAGAAAGCTTTTCAAAAAAAACTCACTATTCAAGTTTCCTCGAAAATAAGACAGGGTCTTATATTAAATTTTGCTCCAAAAATGCATTAGGGCTTATTTTCAGGGGATGTATTATTATTTTCATGTACAACCATCTACATTTATTCAAATACAGTCATGTCATCTTCTTCCGGTGGCTGCACAATGGTGGAAGGAGGGGTTTCACTTAACTGGGGCTTATTTGGGGGATAGGGCTTATATTACAAGCATCCTGAAAAATCATAGAGCTTATTTTCAGGTTAGGCCGTATCTTTGGGAAAACAGGGTAGAAAGACTGTCACATTCTTAAAAAATTCTTGTCATTCATTTGGGAATCTAGAACAGAGAACAGCTCTCCGATTACAGAATCAAGTGACTTACAAAATGATAAGCCTTGGTGGACTAAAATATTCCATGAAAACCAGTATCAGACACTGGCCAACAGTGGCTTCCTATATGTTTTTGGCCTGAAACTCTCATCTCCTCTTGCCCAGATGGCTAAGGAAGAGGGATTATGGAGACTGCACTCCAGAATAGAGATTGAGACTACTCACCATTTTGACGAATTGTCCTGCTTCGTGAGTCGTCAAAAGTTGACAACTCACAAAGCTCAAAGTTGCCCCATGAACTGACAAAGCAGGAATTTATTTGATGATTGTTTGGGGGTTTACTAAAAAAAAAATCTGACACCATGCCACCCCATTGCCATCCCGCCAATGCCCCACCGCTACCGATGCCCTCCCCATCGTAATTGCCACCACCACCACCATTGCAATCACCGCCATCTCCAGCTGGCCTCCACGGCCTGTAGAAAGGGACACGGGCTGCCCTTTGCAAAGATGGTAGCTGCAGCGTCCCTACCCTAAATGAAGCCACAACCACCATCTTTGTAAAGGGCAGCCAGTGTCCCTTTCCACAGGCCATAGCTGCGGAGGTCTGCTGAAGATGGCAGTGTCGGCAGCAACAATTACAGGGGGAGTCAGGGGTGACACGGAGGAGTAGGGAGAAGAAGGGGCAGGGGATAGGCGGAGTAGGGAGAAGAAGGGGCAGGGGATAGGCTGCCTATTGGCCTGCTGATCAGCTGGTAGGCAGAATGGGAAAGCCACATAAAGAAGAGCGCTGGGGAAAAAAGGGGGGACGAATAACAATAGGGCAATACAGTGGTTCCTCGACTTACAAACATCCCAACTTATGACCATTTCGAGTTTGACCAGCTCCGGCAGCACAATTTTGCTTCAACTTGCGGCCGGAGCTTCAAGTTAAGACAGGAAAAAGGCAGGGGAAAAAGGTGGGGAATTCAAATCTGCTAACCTTTGGTAGGGGAATTCAAATTTGCTAACCTTTGGTAGTTGAAAAAGCTGCTTCTTTGTAGCTCTTTCGCCCCAATGGTTAGAGTGAGTGCATTGGAGGAGGCTTGGGACTGCCTGGAGCTGCTTTCTGCTCCTGAGTAAGTACATTTACTTTGTTTTGCAGGGTGGGTTGGGGGGGGTTGGGGTCTCTAGAACCCATGAATATGAAGGGACAAATATTTAATGAATCAGCGATTACTGATTAATATCACGATTCACTTTTTAATTCGTCACCATGTCTACTCCAGACATATCCAGAGGACCACAGTTGTCCTCTCCTGTCCTAAGCAGAGCAACTCTCTATCACAGTGTAGCTAAAATCTGTGCATTAACTTCAATTGTGCTTTCTGGGTGACTTTATAATATTTTTTCAAACCCTGATGTTGGGAAAGTGTGAAGGGGACAACAGAGGACGAGATGGTTGGACAGTGTCACTGAAGCTACCAACATGAATTTGATCAAACTCCGGGAGGCAGTGGAAGACAGGAGGGCCTGGCGTGTTCTGGTCCATGGGGTCACGAAGAGTCGGACACGACTAAACAACTAAACAACAAAAATAATACTTTTACTGCTTCAGGAAAAGATACAAGGGCTAAAATATCCAAGGCATCCAAGAAGCCTCCTACATAACAAACAACAACAACATAATAATAAAACATCAATGTGTGTCTCTTATTAATTAACTAAACAGTACAGGAAGCAGTTAACAGAAGCTTTACTAATACATCTAGAGTTCACCGTTCTATCTCGAGAACTAAGAGCTATTCTACACATTTTTCCTTAAGAGCAGTAGTCATAGTCCAATTTTGGCATCACATATCCAGAACTGGATGGAAAATGTCAGCATGAATGCAGCCTATTCAGGCCACAGCTCAGTTATAATTTATGTAGCCAGGTATTTTTTTTCCACCACAGCTATTACATTCATTGAAATAACTAGCTGTATTCATGGACAAATATTTCATCATTCAAATAGGAGACATTAGTTGTGAAAAGAGAACCATCTCTTTACAGAAGTCAACAAAAATACTTGCCTAGAAATAAATTCCACTGAAATCACTGGGGGTCTTTTCCAAACAAGTGTTTTAAGATTGAGGCTGAACACCACTATTTTGTGAAAAGACTTACTGAAGTGCTTTCAGCCAAAAAGAGAGAGAAAGGGTACTAACCTTGTGATCTCAAACAAATGCTCAGAGATAGAGCAAACAGTTCCCCCAAGTTGCAGTCAATTATACTGAGGTTATTAACCTACAGAAATCATTCCCTCCCCACCTCCCCAGTCTCTGCCAGGCCCTCGTTTCCCACGACACATCTTTATGAAAGTCAAACACACAGGTCATCATCATCATCTTCATTACAATATGACATTATACTATATTGTGATGTTATTCAAATTCACCTCCACAACCTTGGGTAAAAAAGGAATTTGACCTACATTTCAAATTGTTGTTCCTGTGTCCCGCCAGTACAGCTGCTCAAGTGTTTTCTATTCCTTTTATAAATATTTTTTTAAGAGCAGTACCTTCTACCTGGTGCATCTTTTCTCAGATGCCACATTAATCTGAACCCACTTTCTACTACAGGTATAGTCCTTCATGCTTCTAGTTCAAAATTCTATTCAAAACTTTCTATAACTTCTTTCTCTTTAGAAGAACTTGTACAGCTGCCACTCCAGCCCCGTTTCTGACGCTGCTGTCTAAAGAAGGAAGTCTGGATTGGAGGAAAGAGATATACAAATATGACCAGCAAATAAATATTGGGGAGAGAGAGAGAGAGGTACAACTAGGAAGACACTGCTGAATAGTTTCTGAGCAAATTCACTTTGATCAACTGTTGCTGAGAAAAGGAACCCTGTGTCAAAATTGTGTGTATGTTCTGTGCCCTCAAGTCGGAATTGACTTCTAGCGACCCTTTCAAAGTTCTGTGAGATATTTATGAAGCGGTTTTACCAGCGAGTTAGCTTCCTTGGCTGAGACAAAATTTGAACCCACGACTGCCGAGTCCTAGTTCATCAATCTACCCACACCACCGCACGGGGAATTATTAGACAACTAATAATAGGCAACTAATAATAATGGAGGGAAGCAAGAAGCCTGGCTCGACAAGCCCTCCAAAGGGCAGCTCTCCTCGACTATCCCGAGAATACTGTACACCCCATGGAGAAGTCATATCCACCCCGGATCAGCGCGTCTAGGACTGCAAGCGCCCTGAGTCCGCGGCAGCGCCGCCTCTGGGTATCTTGGGCGCCCAGACACGGCAATATGGGAGCACACTCAGCAGGACTTGACGCCACACACACACACACCCCAAGTCCAAAGCACACTTCTTCCCCCCCCCTCGACTGGTTTGTCCGGAGGCGAGGTCACCCCACAAAAAGAAACCCTACTGAGAGCAACGCGCTTCCTTTCCTTCTAACCCCCAAAGTCCCCTTCAACTGCCCGCTTGTTACCGTAGGCAGAAAGGGGGCACCCTCACTTGCGCCCCCCTTCACCCGTTCCCCAGTTTCCCCCCAGCAGAAGCGCTCCACTCACCCACCGGTCTCCGCCAAAGGAATGCCGAACTTGCTCGCTCAGAGGGGGAATAGTTTCTGCACAAGCGAGCAACGCGCGCCGGGCAGAGGGGGAGGTTCCTTCGCCCGCCAGGAGGCCTCGGCCCCCGGCCTCAGGTCCCCGCCCCGGCCCGGCCTCCTCGGCTGCCAGCGCAGCCAGCGTCCTTGGCGCCGGCGAAAGGACCATTCTCTTGACTTCACCATGTTTGTAACCACACCAGTAAATGTCTAGAAGGAGCTGAGTATCACAGTCATTTTAAAGCTGCCTAATTGGTGGTTATTATGCTTGATTGGTGCTCGGTGACATCCACAGGTGTTTTCAATACCTGATCGAAAACACCTGAATGAACCTCTCTTCTTCAGAGTGGTAGTCTTTAAGGGGTTGAATAATTGTGGCAATGAAGAAACCACAAAAGAAACATTTACTACTGTATTACATAAACAATTGATGTTATTTTAGTTGCATTTGGTTCTTTAAAACGTCCTTGTAGGATTTCATTCTGAATACAATTCCAAATGTACACTATAGTCCCTAAACCCTTTTACAGCATTGGGGGTTGAATAATTTTGAACACAACTGTACATATCCTTTAACAGCCCCCGAACTCTTTCTACACCTTTAGAGGACGCGGGTATTATTAGCTCAGGTTGTCCTAGAAGTGTCCTTGTCGTTGTTATGTGCGGTCAAGTTGCCTCTGATTTATGCCCCCCTTTATAAATGAGGAAATTTCGCTGACTACTGGAGTGCATTAAAGAATTCCCGAAGATCAGTCAGCAAAGCCTTTGACCTTGGGGATCATGAGAAACTGTGAGCTGTTCTGAAAGAACTGCGTGTGCTGGATTGCCCTGGTGCGTAACCTGTATTGTGGGAAAGGAGCTGCCATTAGGATAGAATGTCAAAAGCAAAAGTGTTAAGACAAGGGTGCATTTAATCCCCTGGTCTGTTCAACCTGTATGCAGAATATATCCTAGCCTAGGGGAAGCAGTGCTGGATTCAGATGAAGGAGGAGTTGAAGTTGGTGGAAGAAACATCAGTAATTTAAGATATGCAGATGGAATTATCTTTGCGGACAAAAATGTTGAAACCAAGGCTGTCCTACTTTGGGCACATAATGAGAAGACAGGATTCTCTGGAAAGGAGAAGAAATGTAAAAGGCAACAGGAATGGAGGAAGACCAAACATGTGATGGATGACTCCCTAAATTTAAGGAAGCCGCAAGCTTGAGGGTACAAAGAGGTGAGTAGGGCAATTGAGGAACATTTTGCAGATTTCTCATTCATAAGATTGCCATGAGTCGGAGGTGACTTGATGGCACATAAAAACATGAATGACCGCTCTCCAAAACGTCCTGTCCTCAGCTGCAAACTCAACTCTTGCAGATTCAAGCCTGTGGATTCCTTTAGGGAATTGGTTCATCTCTTATTTGGTCTTCCTCTTTTCCTGCTGTCATCCACTTTCCCCAGCATTATTGTCTTTTCCAGATAATACTGCCTTCTTATGATATGCCCAAAGTAGGATAGCCTCGGTTTCAACACGTTTGCCTCCAGAGATAGTTCAGACTTCATTTGATGCACTTCTTTGTTTTTCTGGCATCCATCCCAGTCAGAGGCAAACTGGGCTCCTATTGCCTGAAGCAGGAGGAAACATGCTCCCCAGCACATAGATGCCTGCCTTCCCTCATCCTGGTGACTGCTTACTTTGTTGTAAAGCACAGCAACTACCCAAAGTGGCAGATAGCATTTTAAACCAGGGATGGCAAGTTCTGAGAGCTACCCTCTCCACCACTGGATCTTGGAGGGCCACAGCTACTCGTATTCCCTGCCCAATCCTCAAATATTTTTCTCATTTAGAAAACAACCACTGGACACATCCACACTCTGTGCCGGCCAATTTTTAACATTTAATTTATAACAATTGAAGTGGGGAGAGAGAGGCCAGGAGGGCTTGGGTGCACAAAATATGACAAAATTACCTCCCACACTTTTCAGAGGGCATAAGAGGCGATTTTGACCCTTTCCTTTTTTTACCAAAAGGAAAGAAAAATGTCCTTTCTCAGATGCTCATGAATGTTGGGGATATTGAGGGGCCCTACAAGCCTCACCCATCTGCTGGCTTGCACTTTGCCCATCCCTGGCTTAAATATAGGGGATTAGGGAGGTTGGCAAAGTGCTGCCACTCAGAAAGTGAGAAGCAATTTTAATGACTATTTTACCAAAAACCCTAAGGAGCGGGGGGAGTAAAACGGGGGGGGGGGCTCTTCTTCCTCCTGCAGGCACTAGAGGCCCTATTCCTCCCTTCCCTAAATGGGGAAGACTTGGCCTCTGTTTCAAGACCAGTTTTGTTCAGCTGAGGATGATTCTTTACAAAGTGTAGGCAAACTGCAGCAGGAAATGGGAGACAAACACAATGAACAAGGTGGGAGAGATGCAACGTTATGGCACCCAGTGCTTTGCTACCCACCAGAAAAGTTTGTTTTGTTTTATTTTAAATAGTTTTATTCTGACTTTATCATTTAAAAAAACCCAAGACATCTTACATCAGTAGAAGACAGCAAACATGGGACCATCCCAGCCTTCAATGGGCCTCTTCCTTGTCCCCAACAAATCCATCTGTGAAGGTGGTGGGATCTAGAGAAAGGCTTTTCCTGATGATGTTAACGCCCAGTCAGGCTGAAAAATGGAGACACAGTCCTTGAGATAATTTGGACCCAAGGTGTTTAGGACTTTGCAAGTTAAAACCAGCACTTTGAGTTGTGCCTGGAAACAGATCGGAAGCCAATGGAGCTGCTATAACCGGAGGCAAGGGGATCAAAGTTATGCAGGTGACACAGCAGAACATAAACCATATTACAGAAATCCAGCTGGGATATTTATGGATCACATTGCACTAATGCACAAACAGATCTTGGCCGCCCTTCCTCATGGATTTATTTGATGTTTCTTTCATTTACATACCCCGCCCTGTTAGTGCATAGCACTATTTTGGGTGGTTTACAGTATGGTAATAAATCCAAAGTAAACATTAAAGTCAAATGGTAGAGTCAAATAAAACAAAAGTATGTTCAATAATAGAAGAGGTGTGTGCCAGGATAGGAGGCATAAGGTCAGGCTGGATTGCACAGAAAGGCTTCTGTGTAAAGGAAAGTCTTCAGAAGCCTTTTAAATGTTAGGAGCAGGGGGGGCAGGTCAGCCCCATTGGGAACTGATTCCAAAGCGTAGGTGCCACTCTGAAGAAGGCCTGGCTCCATTTAGTGGATTCCCTGGTCTCTCCTCGGAGTGGCTACTTGACGCTGAGCAGGATAAGCAGTCATGGTCCTCCTAATGGAGAGGAAAATAGTAAATTGCTGGTGCTGAAACGTGCCCGGAGCCGAGGAGTATTGATCGGCTTGGTTGGGGCTCTTAGGTGCTGGCAGATAAGAGGTGCCAGGTAGTCCATGGTAATAAGATCACTTTGACACCAAAGGCTCTCTAGCAGAGACATCCTGCAGGAGCAGCGCTGCCAGACCAGGAAGAGCGTCTGCCCGATAGTGTTTGGAGGGCTTCTCCATTAGGTACCGATCAGGGCAAATGGCATCCCAATGATGGTGCTGAGTGTGATCTCTTTCCCCACGAGAAGGCAAGCGGAGGCTCATGTAGGCTTGATGCCTTTGTTGATGTGCTGGAGGCTGAGGCGGTAGGCCTACAGGGGCAAAGTAAGCCACAGCGTCTGGTTGCGTTTAGCGCCATGGATGTCTGACAAGGCAATTTGAGAAGACTCACTCAGAGAGCCTGAGGATTGTCACAGGCTATCAGGGAAAGCTGTGAGTCGATCAACAGGGTGTTCCCATTTGGGAGACTGAGATGGTGTGGTTGATGAGGTGGAAGTGCCTCCTCATCTGAAAGAGAACCAAGGTAGATGAGGTTTCTAGACTCTGGTGATTGTGGAGTTGGGGAAACGGTTTTGGAAGGCTTTGATTTTGAAGACTTAGCCTTTTTTGGAGTTGACGGTTCTGGTGCTGAGGGACCGTCCATGGATGGTATTCTCTTAGAGGCTGTTTTCGATGTTGAGGGTTTCGACATTGAATGTTTGACTTTGTGCACTTGCGTGGCATTGATATTGAGGGCAGAGTAGGTTATCGATTAGAACAAGATGGAGTAGCTGACGGGGGCTGTTTTGTCGCTTCGGAAACAGCTTCATCCGTGGCTTTATGGATTGCTCCCAGAGCCGAAGCTTGAGTCTAGAGAGGCAACTGCGGAGAACTCCGCATTTAAAGATTTTGCAGTGAGGGGACGAGGAAGTTTGATGGCCTTACCGAGGCAAAAAAGGTATTCAGGGAGGCCATCAGAAAGTGGGACCTCATTATCGCAGGCTACGCAGCTTTTAAATGGGCCTGAAAAAGCCATGAACCAAGAACCGGTTTTGAAAAGAAAACAACGGAAAGGGGGGGGTGCTTCAGCCCTAAGGCCGGAGCGTATCTTGTTTTGCAAATAATAAGGATAATAATAAATAAAGTTCAATAACTTTCCTACTTTCATTCTCAGATTTCTCACAGAAGTAACGATTGAGGCTCTCAACACAGCGGTTGGAAGAAACTGAAGGGAGAGCCTTGGTGCCAAGGTACATATACTGGGGGAAAGGCTCTATGCTAATGTATTTTCCTTTGCTACCGCAGAAGCTCTAGAACAGGGGTGTCCAACCTTTCACCTTCCCTGGGCCACATTAGAAGATGAAAATTTGGTTTGGGCTGCACATAAAATAAAATAACAGTAATGATACCTGATCATCCCCCCAAAAAAAAACAACCATAGAAAACATAGTTAACATATTAAACTTACTTGAAAATGAAGTTAGTGAGATGTTTGACATTGTTTCTCAGCCACCAATGCATCCATATTTGCTTTGATGGAAC